AAGATCATCGGAATGGATAAGCCCCATAGATGGGTGTGGCGCTTGCCCTTCCCGGGCAGGTACGTTCATAACTGCAACAACTCGTTCAGCTTCAACGTTAACTTCACTGACTACGACGCAGACGAGATCATTTGCCATGTAGCCTCTTGTAACACCTTTCTTGTCCACCGCCGGCACAGTGGCCGTATTTAGTATTAGTGCCTAATAAACACAATATGCAAAAATCTGTTATTAAATACAATACAAATAAAAGTAATGTACCTATAAGCGAGTTTGGCTAATTGCGAGTATACGATTGAATCACGATAACTGTTGAACCATTAAATTTTCGACTAGGCTCAATCGTTTAGGTACAATTTATTATGTATATTAAGGGGATGCTGGAGTACCTGTTTTATCATTACTTAGTTAAAGACTCATTTCTCTTAATTGCATTTACGGATGGAAAAATCCTTCTGCATAATTAAAGTATCGACAACAATGAATTGCGCTAGCTACATTTCAATACGAAAAATGGAAGAAAATTAAAAACTTACAGTTTCGTTATCGGCTTCTGTGATTTTCGATAACGAAACTGTAAATTTTTGTTCCGTTTTTCGTATTGAAATGTAGCTAGCGCAATTCATTGTTGTTGATACTTTAATTATGTAGGATTTTTCCATCCGTAAATGCAATTAAGAGAAACGAATCTTTAACTAAGTAATGATAAAACAGGCGGGTCCAGCATCACCTTAAACATCATACATAGAATTACATAAAAGCAATATTTATAAGTTAACATGTTGACATACCTTAACTCCTAATTCAGTAACAATTCTGGGACTGTCACTGCAGTTACAAAGCACCTTGAGAAGAAGACCTGCGGCACTTTTACCCATTACTTGCGCAAATATCACATCCCCAATTACTAAACTCTACAAATTAAGTAAATAATAATAAATTAGAATTGTCATATAATTACTTAGAAACTGATGCATTCATATATATTTTATAATCCTTATATCATTACCTCCAAAAAGTTACGGATACGCTGAGACTTCTCCATGGTGACAAAAGTATCAAGTGCAGGCACTGTAGCATAAAATTCTGAAATAAAATACATGGACATACACAATATTGCGTAATATTATATATATATGATGAATTTAAAAAAAAAAAAAAAGATAGAAGACACACTGAAAAATAATTACCTTCATCTGCCAGCTCTGGCTTATTACATTCTGAAGATTTTTCCAAGTTTGCTTTATCATACAGGTCATCAGCTTTTTTAGTGAGAAATTGTTGAAGCTTTAGACGTTTGCCTCTATCTCCAAAACTGTAAGGTATACGATTTTATTTAACAAAAGAATGACAATAGATTTCAGATAATAAATGCATTCAGTACTATGACCATTTGCTTATGCCTGTTCTATAATAGAATTGTAAGTTGCAAGTCATAACTAATGGGCTAATCACGAATATGAAAAGAATAATTATGATAAAATTAATTTCTTATAGCTTACAACTTGTGGCCATATTGTAGAATAGGCTTTAATATTCAATGAGTTTTTGTATCTGTTTGGTCTATAGTTTTAGATTTAACGAAATATGCTAATGAGATGCAAGAGCTCACTAAGCACTCAATGAGCGATTGTAGCACTGAATGTACCCAATGTACTTAGATAATATCAAATGTGTAATAGACATATACCTGAGAGTTTTTTGCCGTTGTTGGTAGATTTCAAAGCTAGGATCCTTGAGATTGAGCATAACCAACTCATTTTCGTTGCGTTCACCTTCCCAAACTTTCTGCAACTGCTGGCCATGATAGTTCAATGCTTGCGCTACTAGACGCGCATCCATTGATTCCATTCTCGTTCAGCAAAGAGACGAACCTAATCTGCAAGACTATGAAAATCGTCACGTTCGAATTATTCGTGTCCTTCGATCGCAACTATGAGAAAACATTCAAATATATCGTTATATAGAGTATCCAAAAAAAATAGACACAGGCATATCTGTAAATTATTATGTGGAGCCATCTCTAACCGTTCTTTCATGCATAAAAAAAAGCCCTTTGAGCGCACGACATCCAATGACCAAGGTAACGTGGTGTCCGCCAAACAAACCGTTGTCTAGTAAAATTTTAAAAGTTACCCATCTCATACGTCTTTATTTATTACCGCATGCACAGTCGAATAAACGTCTGGCGGTATATGGAATTATTGGAAGGTCGCAGGCGTTATTGGCGTGTCATCACGCTGTCCGGAAACAAAGCGACCACGTCGTCAGCGAAACTGCGTCATCCAACCTCGTGTCGAGGTAAGTATGCTAAGATGCTACCTACGCATCGGGTATGTCGTCTACATATAGAAGTATTGTCGCCGTTAATCCACGACAACGTATATACATATGTAGGCAAGATACGCGAGCTTCGCGAGCTATATCGATCTCTCCTCCTCGACAAGATGGTAGTTGAAAATCCGGGGATTACGGGAACGGCATCGGGCGCCATGACGCATCTATTTCTCTCGCCGTCGTCGAATCCGCCATTTTTGCAACGTACGTCTCTCGACCGCCCGCGACCAGAAATTATGCGAGTGCTACTTACCGCTAGTTTGGCCACGATTATCCGGTTACTTCCGGAACCTGGGCCATTTAAATTTAGAAGAACAAGAAGAAGAAGAAGCTACTTACCGCTTAGGCGCTTACCCAGTGATGCGCGATTTTCAACCCGCTTGCAGCACTCGACCGGTAGCGCCAACTGTCGGCGGCCTGGCGCAACTGGTAGCACACACAAGCAAAGCTCTTCTTCTTCTTTTTCTTCCTTAAATAATGGCACCCGCCTCCAAGCCTCCAAGCAATGAAATAGGAGGTCGATACGGCCAGATCACGTCTTTAAAGTATACCGTACAAAAATATGAAAACGAACGGGTGACGCAATACCCGCGAAAATGGCGCCTGCATCTACGGCGTCATCACGTCGCAATAACGCGCGTCATAAGAGCCCTAGTCGTCGAAAAGTGCAAAATGACGAACAATCGAGACGAGCTCATCCGCAGACACGCATCTGTGTGACGCAATGCACAGTCAAAGTCGGCAACACTTTCAAAAATATACAATGGAAAGCACCCGAAACACGTCAATCACCGTCACGGTCGAACCGTCGAATGGTTCGTCGGAACTCACAAGCAAAGCACGTGTACTGACGTGTACGTGTAACCATGGTGGAAATACAAGGTGAACTGTGAAGCATTCCGTAGAATGCGCAGTCGTTCATGTCACGTGATATCACGAGCCAATCCACTATATGTCGATGATATATATAAATAGCACCAAGCCAATCAGCGCGCGATTCGAGTCACGTGTCATGTTGGCGATTCTCTTATTACAGGCTCTCTAACTGTACACCGCCACCAGAGGTCCAAAAAGAAGAGGCTCGTCGTAACGCGCCATGCGCCAACTACTTTTATCGAACGTCGGGCCGGTCACCGGCAACGCGCAACCATATATAAGCGTGCCGTGCACGACGTGACGAAGTAGTTCTTACCAAAAGATTTCTCGGAATGTTTTAGGTGGCACGCAGACCAATATTCGGTTCTTATATCTAAAGCCATTTTAAATACTGTCTTAAACTATTATAAACCAATGACTGTAACAGACAAAGCAGTTTTGGTAAAATTCTTCCATAAAATTGATTTATGCTTTTAGATTCATAAAGAATCAAAAGCAAGAACCAATCGTATTAAAGAATTAAATGTAGCCAATCAGAATCATAACTTTCTTTTAGAATTTAAAAAAACAATTAAACGCTGTTTTATCTTTTTTGGCAGGACCACCAAAAAAGATGCAAGTTGTGCATTAACAAAGCAGGAACCGTCATTTTAAAAATCAATTGTCTATTCCTGTAAGGCCGGAATCAGACTACGTTAAAAATTGAGATTAAAGTTTGGCCAATCAAAATAATAGAACTAAAATTCTTTTATTCTTATTGATAAAATTTCAATCACAATCGTACAATCGCTAGTGTATAATTACGGTTTAATAACGAATTGCGTGTGCTCGCTTTTGTCAGATTTAATTTCTTCTGAAACGTGTATACATTTAGAGAAATAAATATTTTTATTTCAAAAGATTGTAACATTTTTCTAGAGCGGAAATATATAAAATAAAAATTAAAATAGAGCACCAAGTTTATAATATAATAGAGAATTTTTTTCCCTTTCACGTTTTATCTTAGAGAAAATGTTATAGATCAGTATCCTGATACTAAATAGTTTTGTATGTACTCAAAAATTTTAATAGCATCGAGAAATAAACAATCTAATTCGACTAATGGTTTTAAATTTTGTAATAGTTTTTCTAAAAAAAAATTATGCCCTAAAGATATTTAAAAAATTATTAAAAAATAAAATATTGATAAATAAAAATATTACGAAGTGCGGACAGAAAATTCCTTTTATATAAAATCGCCATGTATGTCGACAACTACCTTGCATTTTAAAATTCAATGAATAACAAAGAGAGAACAATATTTATCTCTCAATAGGAAAACCACACACACACTTAAATTATATTAAGACAATCTTGAAATAATATATACTTTTTGTTGCAAACTGTGCTACTCAAGGAATTGAAATGGAATAAGTCACTTTTTGGAATAGCCATCAACAATATAATAATTTAATATATAAACGATACGCTCGCTAACAATCGAAAATTTGTAATAAACAATTATTGCACAGCAAAAGTACAAAAAATACTTCTTATTTTACAACTTGTAAAATAAGTACAACATACATTATATCCTGTTTATAATGGAAAAATTTAACAAACTTGCTGAGGAACGCATTTAATAATAATTCAGTCTTATCTAATTGTGTATACTTAATAAGTGACATTTTACAATATATTGCCATTTTTTATATCTTTTAATTAAAATAAGTAAATATTCCCACTTTTGGTTGCAAAATTATATTATTATAACTGTAAATTATATCTATGCATAATATTATTCCTGCAAAAATTTATTCCTTGTAGAAAGTGATTCTCAAGCCTTCGTCACATTGGCTTTGTGAAATATGTATATCTTCGTACATATGTATTATAAATGTATAATGAAATTTTATCGCAACCATACATTATTTATTATTAGCCTATTGTGTAAATCATCACTCATACGATATATATAAACATTCTAATTTCTTTCACTGACTTTTCTTCTGGATCTTTTCTTTGCTCTTTACATCCACATTCCAGTAGTAAAGAAGCTGTATTACTATAATAGCATTTGCTAAAGTGGAACACACATACATCATTATCATAGTGGTATCACCAGTTTCTTGAATAGAAGTAAAAATTCTGGCAAGAGAACCAAAGAATAGCAAAAAACATGTTGGTGCCGATAATTGGCCGGTACTTCCATTAGTATAATTTGTATAAGCTTGCATAAACTGTAATCCCATATAAAATCATGAATTAATATATTTGCAATACATGTGTGTAATAAGAATAATAAATTCTCAAAAGTAGTTATAGTTTTGATAATCCAATTCCTTACTTTACTTATAAGAACAATGGGTATATTCATTGCTTGACATGCCCAGAGAATATTGATAGGCACTAATCCACTATTAGCTGCAGAAATCACTGCTATATAAGTAGAAAGGAAAAAAGTCGCTTTTGCTGTATCTCCATTATAATGCATTACTAGAATTGCGATCATCAAGGTTTGAAGCCCTAAAAATACTCCATCCCCCCAGGCACTGAAATTAATATCATTAACAACAATAAATGTGTATGTAAACAGAAAATTCTATATGTATGTTCTTACATATGTACACAACATTTGTGTTTAAAAATTATTCACCTAAATGGAAATCTACTGCAGAAACTGTAGGAAGACATCGCAGTAATAGCGAATAAATCCAATAATATACTAAAGATGTTAATTCCATCACCACTTTTATTTTTTAGAAGTTTTAAAATTTGAGGCACTTTCACTAAAAAGAAAATAACAGTATAGTTGGATAAGGCCTAAGATAACATTTTTAGATAAAACATTAGATAAGAATACAGAGATAAGAGTACATTAGATTAAATATAAAATAAAAGTAATTATAAGGTAAATATAAAATGTTATAGTTATAATTAAATAATATTTAGAACGTTATTTCTCACTTTGGATAAATATTGCGAAGAATATTACTACGTCGACCCGCCATCAGAGGTCTATCGATATTCGCAAGTTCTCGCAAGTGCTGAGACACGCGTATATCTCTTTATATAGAATCTCGATTTAATAACTTACACCGGCGTCTAAGGTAGGCTTCCACTACAATACCTTACTGATGAGTCCAGTAGTGGAAGCCGGGACGAAACGCCAAACATTACGTGATATTCTTCGCAATATAGAATATTAGAATATATTATCAGATTTAGATTGACTCTTATTCGCCATTCTCAACGTATTAATTATTGTAAATAATATTTACAATAATAACATATAAAAAGTTATGTATCATTTTTTTACAAGAATTATATATAAGATTGTAATTGTTAAATAAAATAATTCAATTTATATATTTTCAAAGCAACATGAAATAAATATCTTTATACTTAAAAATGATGTACTAACCGATCAAGGAACCTCCGATGATGCCCAGTCCTAGAGCTTTGCTCAATGTTGTCTTGAAACATCCAACTGAAATATTTTCAAGTCAATCATGCTTTATCTCCTTGTATGTGCAATTATATGTGTTCATTAAAAAATTCATTTTTAATCTCGACAATTTCATAACAAGTTACCAACCAAATTTAAGTTTGTCACATATGCAAAATAGTCAAACATCGCGCAACAATGTCTAAAATTACATATACAAAACAAATGACTTAACAAGATTAATTAGTCACTCACTCGAGCATTATTTTAAATTTTAAATGTCGGAATCATTTATTACTGCTTACATGTCGGAAATAAAATGTCACCGAGGAATTTTAGAACAGCTCGCGATAAAAATAATATGTAATACTATCAGGGCGAACATACCGTGGAAAAAATTGAACTTATTAAAGTACTCCTTCATGCATTCCTGAGTAAATAACAATAACGTCGCTTTTCTGATATATTGTGCCATATTGTCACAATCTCTTCTGTCTTCATCGACTTCAATGTACTATCTCGCGATGTAAATGCACATGGAATGTAACAGAAGCCTCAGATCCGAAAGATCTTCCGTGAATAAATAATTGCCGTCTTAAAAAACCGGTTACAAAGCAGAAAACTAAACGCAAATCCAATGCCAAGATTGCTAAGTGCCAACTCATATCATTTTATCATTGACGTTCACGACATCAATAGTAACGTTTATTAATTACGTACCATAAATTTGAGTGACTCGGATGGTAATATAGGAGGTATCAGTAAAATCAACATGAAAAAAATTAACAGATTGCTTACTTCGATAAATATAAATACTAAATAAACATCTTATTTATTCTAATTTAATATATATAAGTTGATTATTACTTTTAGCTATATTAATGATAAAAATAATGAAATCGTGTTGATCATTTATGAAACAAATATAGCAAATTAACAATTTAAAATATAAAATTATTGAAAGTATACTAATTTATTTTTCATGATACAAATAGACAATAACTTTTACCATAGTAATTCACACTGTATAAGTAGTTTTGCTCGTTGAGTTCAGAGGTGCTAGTGTCCAATGTTCAAATATGGCGACGCTTTGTAATATTGTAATGGTGCATTTTGATTACATAAGATGTACTTATTTGGGAAGTTGTTGTTATTAGCATTAATTATATCATTCTATCCTTGTTTTATTGATAAATGGCGGAAATAAAATTATATATTAGCGTTAATAGCGTCTCCTCGATACACCTATATATTGTTGAATCGATGAGAATATTAAATAAATATTATTTTATTAAATAGATATTATTTATTAGTAATATCGATATAAGAACGCGTGTATTGTTTCAAGAAAAGCAGATATCTAAAAGGCATACAAGACAAAATTAATTTATTATCTATTTATATATACCTAATAATTAATTATACTACACCGTACCTAATATATACACATATATAAGTAGATTTAATTAAAATTTTAATATATTAATATCGAATTACTTTTAAATTTAAAAAAAATGCCAAAATCAGGAGAGACTAAATACGATATCTCTTAATGTACATTATATTTTCTTAATGAAAGTAGCAATATAATATACATACAATTAATATAAAAATAGCAAAATATAATAATTAAAAAAAAGTGTAACGAAAATAGATGTTACGAAACTTTATCACAATTTATTTTTATAAGCGGAAAGTTTGCGAATACAATTTTTGAAGAACCGCGCCGTCATAGTTGGAGAACGCGATATTTTTATTACCATGCGCCAAAGGTCGCGCAACCTTGACATTCACTCAGTATAAATAATAATATATGTATATACTTGTAAATTGAATAAGTAGATAATATCTCAATGGCATAATTATGTGTGTGTTAACACACGCCGTGAAAGAAATGTATGCATTGAAAAATGAGTTTAGGTAACGAAAGAAAATTAAAGAAAGATCCACGTAACGATACGATGACATACATACGTACGTGACATTTTCAAACAGTAACTTTTGAATTCACTTTACTTTTTTTTTAATATAGAACATCATTATTTTACGGTAATTATTTCTTAGAAATTTGTTTATGTTTATATGTATAATATACGTATCTACACATATACGATTATTCTCACCATATAAGCGATATGATACGCAATCGGCAACTTCATCTTTTACTACCGCCAAAATGCTGTCCGTCAGCAACAGTAACATGTCAACCACACGGATCTTTCGTGTCCCTTCATTCTATTAATATTTCGTTGAGCAAATTCCAAAATTTCAAAGTATATTGTTGGAAATCACGCGCTCGCGCGCACCTTATCTCACACGCGATCAACGCTAAATTTAGCCGTCAGAGACGGAATTTGGCCAGTTGCCGAAAATAGGCCGGTTATCAAACCGAGATCGAGATTCATCCCCCTCCCGCCCTCTCGTAATTAACGATACCAGGCCGAGTGAACGATTCATCAGAGGCTACCACCTGCCGCGACTTCTCTACGCGGTCACGGAGATGCAGCCGTGTAAGTAGGTCAGAGTGCATGCAAAGTTGAGGAACGAAGTGTGGTCCGATTAACCACGTGATCACTTTGACTTCCTCGCCTATATTCTAACGGAGGTCGCACGGGGGTTATGCCGCGGGGGTGCGCGGAGGTGCCTGGTACGCTCTTCGTTGCGCTTAACTACCACCCCGCAAGGCTCACGTGTTCAGGAACGTTTCGTTCGCTATTATTACCCAGGTTAACGCAATCGTTCACCTTGTTCGTTGTACGTATACGCATCCCCTAAGTAACAATTAGAAAACACTCAAGAGCACGCTTTATCATACCTTACGGAAATCCAATTTAATACTGAAAGATAACAGTTCAATTACTTGCTTTGAATGTTAAAAATACTGAACAACGATTCTCTTAATATATATATTCAAAATAATTTATTAATTATTTTATTAGTCAATAACGATTTATTTTATTTTTAATAGTAAATTTTTCTACAAATGTATTAGTTTCGTTTATATAATAATTTCCGAATTGTAACTTTATAGTTTAATAATATTTGGATGTGTTTTGTTAGAGATAAAAATTACTAAGAAAACCAATAAAGGTCAATGTTTTCCTCCACTAGTCTTGCAAGTTTTTCACTTGAATAAAGAATGAAAATGTAGTACTATATAATTAATTATAAGTGGCATTATCAATTTATTACTGTATTAAGTTCTATACTATTAAGTATTAAGTTTGTGTGAGGACAGTGAAAACCATCTTTGGAAACTATTTTTAGTTTCATCAAGATTGCTCTCAAATAAAAATTATTTTCTAATACATTAGAATTACTGTTTTACAAGAAAAAAATGGACGATCTTATAAAGATTCTGTTACAATATAATTAAGTCAGTGCAAAACAAAGAGTTTCCTATAGATCGAACGTTTTCTTCAGTTAGTCTAAGCCGATTGGTGCCTTTTTAATGGCTCGGGGGAGAAGCAAGGGAGATTTCATTAAACGATTTCCTCGGTATCAGAGCGATCTTATTGTTTCGATAAGGGGCGCCTTAAAACACCCCTGAGGCGCGCGCCTGCGAAATATCAGATTCTACCACCTAACTCGCGTGTATCCACATCGTCGTCGTTCAGTCTTGCCTCCACTTCCATCCGGGAGTGTATTTCATCTTCACCCGAATAGTCTACCGCGCGACTAGTTCTTCACTTCTCGACTTCAAATCCTCGACGCAACGATCATTAGACGGTCTGTCTTGCGCAAATAAGTACATTTACTCTTTGATATCTGCAAAGGATGTATTTATCGGGAGAGCAACGAGGATTCAACAGGTATCAGAAGTGGCGCAGTGAGCTTCGTTACGAGCTACTGAGTTTTATTAAAAATTAAGCACATGCTCTTCGCGTCGTTCGCATTAAATTCTATTTTTGAGACACGTTCGGATTCTCATCCGAGTGTTCCCTGAGGTATTTTACTAACCTTGTTTAATTTTTAGTGAACAGCAAAGTTAAAAGAATACATACGTAGGTGGTACTCAGGTGGAAAGCCGAACAAGAGTCTGGAATTTTTCTACACTAAACATTAATTCTTATTACATATGGTTGAGTCATTTGTGTTCTGTATATTTTTTTTCTTTGAAATACTTGCCACAAATAATTTTATATAACTTTCCTATATACAATTTTTTTAATACACAATCTTACAAAACTTTCTAAAGATATCAAAGTACAATTACACTAAAGATCACTTAATAATTTTTTAAAAGTGATGAAGATTAACACGAACGACTCATCGTCTATAGTATAGGATTGGAAAATTTTAAGGATTCATTTTTTTAAAGATTATTTTTGGAAATAATACGTATCTTCAGAGCTGATCTGACAAATTGTAAATGTAAATATATTCGCGAAAGCAGTTTCAGATTAAAATAACAGCGCTTCCTTTGAGTACATCTTTTATCGAAATCTATTGAAGCCATGAAGAACACGTGAAAATTATCAGAACGCATTTCCGCGGGAAGCTGTGCGGTAAGTCCGCTACATGAATGCCAAGGATGGGTCCTCTTCAAATCTCGGAAGTTCAAGCGAAGACAAGAAAGACAAGAAAGAAAACGTCGAGAATGAAGATGAAAATCCCGGAGAGGAAGTGGTGACAAAGACGGATGCGACAGATTGTGATACCAAATCTCTCAAAGGTTTGATATATTTATAATTACTCAAGATCGAATAAGCATATAAGTAATATGTTATAATCGTATATCGTTTGTAACTTTTGTTAAAGAGGAACCAGACTGTCTGGAAAACAAATGTGAGTCGTCTTTAGAACTGCCTTTAGAACCAACCCTTCACGAGCGATTCTTGCGTATTAAGCAAACCGTGAAGGACGCTATAGCTGCCCATCATACTTTTATGATTTACGGCAAGTCACGGGTCATTCGCGATTGCATGTTGAAACGAGGATGGTGTGAGAAGTTTTATCGCAGGAACAGCGGCGGTAATAAATCACGTACAACTTTATAATTACTCTAATTAATGATTTTAGTTTTTTTTTTCAAGTGCAGCAAGGTGCAGCATTCTTCTACGTTGCAGTTTGAGCATTGTCACTCACTTCATCTAGTCAGAAATTATTTGATTAATTATTTCTCAGTAAAGTATATCTTTGAATTGAAGATAACAATAATTTCAGGTGATCAACATTTCAACGTTGATTCTAATCCAGTGCTTTTACTGGCTGGTATTGGTGATCTAAAGGATCAGCAAAGCGAACGTTTATTAATGTCGAGAATGCTCGCCAATCACACCGTCGACTTCCTGTGGAATACTGGGTCCGACTGGCCCGGATGGCCTGCCCAAGATAATAAAACTACTGTGTTCAATCGATATTGTCGAGCTGGCTTTACATCTAAGGTATCACACTGATCACACACACACACACACACATCCGTGCGTTAAATATTTTTAACTTTGATGAGAATTATTAATTTTTACACTCAAAAAGAAGCGGTAGCAACCATAAATGTGACAATAATATACACGTTTTATATATAGAATTAATGTATGTAGTTGAATAAACTATTTTATAGTTACAAAATAATAATAAGTATGTTGTCACCTTTACAGTTTCAACTTCTGATTTTTTAGTGAAATTCACGCATAACGTAAAACAATAATTTTTTAAATATTAACAGAAGACTATCTGCGAATAATTTCTCTCGAAAGGGATTGGCGAGCTTGACCTTGTAAAATTATTTTCTTTTTAAGCATAAAGATTGTTTGTAGAGATTGACGAGAATGCACGCTTTTCACGAGCGTGACGGCGATTATTAAGGATAAAGTTGCATGTTCTTCTTTGAAAATCAATTATTCAGGTGGGATTGTGTTCAAGCGTCAGGCAAATGCATTGGTATTACGAAGCTGGAGTGGCTAACACTTTGTTTCCACGTTGCTACAACATATGTCAGAGCGACCAGATGCACGCTTTCGTCGAGGACTTTCGGTGAGAGTTTGCCGATGACTTAAGAAAAGAAAAACTACTTTTTACTACACGTCATCCAAATCATAGAAACATTTAATACACATAATTGTTGATAATAAAAAAAATCTAATCGATAACGCTTCATTAGACTCACAGGCTGTCTGAGTCTCTTAAAATGGTTGGTGGACAGAGTCAACGCCGAGGACGAAGACGTTGTGCGTTCACCAACCGGCACAGTGCCTCTCAAAGCCCTCGACTTCGCGATTAAGAGATGTAGCGATTATATCAGCGCTCAATCACACGAGGACATTGATCAGGAGGGTGAAAAGGTCTGGTCTCATCAATGGGATCAATTTATCAGTTGGTATTATCAGATCGTTCGTGATCAAGCTCTCTTCGTTCGCACTAACGTGCCCTTCAATGTGAGATATTTACTAGCAAATTACTTACTAATAAGCATACTTTTTTATCATATAAAAATATGTCGTACTTGTCAACAGAAATATATTCTGGCTTCGAAGCACGTATTAAAGAAGATGAGAAAGTATTGGCCGCAGATTGACATGGACGGTGTCATGAACATGTGGATCCTAAAACCTGGGAACAAGAGTCGGGGACGCGGTATTGTTCTGATGAACAAGCTGGAGGACGTAGTAGCGAAAGTAAATCCAACAGGCAAACCGGACACGCGATATGTCGTGCAGAAATATATCGGTAATAAGACTTTCGGATTAATAATTTCAACGGAACGCTAGCTGATTAATGCAGGTGTTTGCTTTTCATTCGTTCAGTTAAAAATAGTCTGATTATTTCTGTTAGAACGGCCGTTACTGATTCATAACACAAAATTCGACATAAGGCAATGGTTCATAGTGACGTGCGCTCAACCTTTAACTCTCTGGATGTATAAGTACGCAAGTATATCAAGAATTTTATAAGTCACGACATATTGTATCATTGCTCACGCTAGAACAATTAACAAGCACAATAGCGACTCAACCGTATAAGAAATGATAGTTTTAAAAGTAGGGTAATAATCAATTTATGCCTCGTTGACATTAAAGCGCGCAATTCTGTTCCCTGGTAGCCAAACTTGCGGATATAAATATCCACAGACAGTATACACAACACAATGCTATCTGCATTTAATTATCGCTAATAAAATAGCAGCCAAGGCAAAAAGACGTTTCGTCGAGCTTATTGCTTGTTTAACAGAGAAAGCTATCTTCGTTTTTGCTCGCAAAAGTTCAGTCTGGATGATTTTCACGAGTCGATTCACCTGTGCAATCACGCGATTCAATGCAAATACAATAACTGTGGCGACAGGGACTCTGCTCTACCCGCGGACAATATGTGGGACGCAACAACATTCAAAGAGTTTCTCAGGTATGATTTACGTCACATTGTATATATAAAGAATCACGTATTTTTTCAAAATTTCTGTTATGTAATTCTAAGTATCCTTTATGCACATTTAGATTTTTTTTTTAAATAAAGCAATATGCAAGAATAATGAAATCTGATGATGATTCTCTTTAGATCTCAGGGTCATGCTGATGCATGGGATGAACAGATCTATCCAGGAATGAAGCAAGGTCTGGTAGGCTCGTTATTGGCTAGTCAAGAGGCTATGGATCGACGGAAAAATAGTTTCGAATTGTACGGTGCTGATTTTATGGTCATGGAGGACTTTTCCGTGTGGCTGATCGAGATCAATAGTCATCCGGACATGAGCTACTCCACCAGTGTTACTACGCGATTGTGCCGACAAGTGATGGAAAATACCCTTAAAGGTAATTAACCATCTAATCTAAACATTACTATATTATTTTCCTTTGTTGCACAGTTGTGGTAAAAATTATATTTTTGCTGGTATAGTCGTAGTAGATTTTCGAGAAGATAAAAATGCGGATACTGGAGACTTTGAGTTAGCATATAAGCAAAGAATGCCGAGTTGCCAACCGTACTTGGGCGCAGCTCTGTCGCTTCAGGGTACTCGTATCACCACCTGCGAGAAGAAATCGAGTCTGTATCAAGATTCCAAATCCAGCTTAGTAGCAAGATCTCCGATGGTGAGTTAAACAAAGATGAGAAATAACATAGCATTGCTAGATTGAGAATCGAATTTGATTTATCCATCGACAGACGAAAAAGAAGTCGATGGTACATAGCAACATTGGGCCAGTGATCGTCGATCTCATCGAGGAATTGGAGATACAGCTCGACCAAGAGTTGTATTCTTATTACAACACCGATTCGCCTAAATCGAGATCAGCACTTCCAGCGACTGCACCAACAAAGCCTTTAAAGGCAATTTCTGACGAGAAAATAGAAACTATGACAAAAAGTACTTCAGCAGGTACAACGTCTATCAACAAAACGAAATCACCAACTCCATCCAAGACTAACGTCCAGGTAATTATTATTTAAAAAGAAATTGGTATCGTCTCCAAAATTAATGATTATTCAAAAATTGCTATTATCCAAGCAGTAAGTAAAAAATGACGTTAAAATAAATCGTACTCGAATGGTGACTTTTAATAACCATTTTGAAAGCCATTTTGACGTCATCGTGATTTCTCGTTTTGCTTGATTAATATAAGTATTAATACTTAATCTTATATGTCTATATAGAACCACACTAAATCTTCGAATAACGGAAAAAGATCTTCACATAAATCGACACGAAAGTTACGCATGTCCACCAGCACTGCAAACAGCAAACTGGATACATCTCCGAGACAAACGTTGATCTCGAAAATTATGGCTCTTCAGGAGCAATCAGCGAACGAGACGCCGAAATCGGAGAAACTGTCGAGAAAAAATGAGGACAAGGTTTATTATTTTAATACAAATTTTTCGTCATTAAATGCTTACATTAAAAAGGAATTAGCAAATATTTCTTTTTACCCATTTCTTTACTTATTAGATTATTAAAACCGCCATGCGAGACGCCGTGAAGAAGTACAAAAGAAACGTGACTGTTCGGCCAGAAGTATCGCCACTGCCTTCTCTACTTACACCGCCAACTGCGAAAGTCACACCCGTGTCGAAGAGCAAAAGTCGCAGCTTTCCTAAGAAACAAACGCACCATAAAAAAAATAAAATTTTAACCGATATCTCCGATATGTATGCTATCGGTTTAAGCCTAACCAAATAATCGAAAACAATCTGTCAGTCACTCGTTGCTCGTTATTTTTCTCTTTATTGTTGATCAATTCTCTAATTCTATCTACAAGTGATATATGTATACAACTAATAAATGTTACCATTATACCACTAACAATCGATTTTACTTCCATTAGTATAAAAAACAATTTAGGATATATAGTTTTATCGAACAAAAAAGAAACAAAAACAGTCCTTCGAGCAATCGAGATAAATTCATTACAATCTCGATTTCATTTGTAAATTTAAATTTACATACATTGCAAAATTTTCAGTCTAATAATACTAAAATGTTCCCACAGAAAAAGAAAATTTTTGCTAATGTTAGCGCACTCGATTGTAAAAAAGATAATACAAAGAAACACATAAGAAATAAATGCGTGAAGAAAAAGGTTAAAAAATTTACTCAGACAACAAATAAAAAAGACGAAAAGATTTTTCCTCCCAAAGGTCGAGCAGAATGCCCGGATTTTAAGCATCCTTATTTAGAAAAATGCAAAGAACAAGAAAGAAAATTATCTACTACGTTCTCGAAAGATCAAAAGTATGAGATAGATAATATTCAAAAGCCAGTCTTTTAAAATCCTGCGGTAGAGAAATATCTGAACGAATCAATGACGAAAACATTGAACGTATATAAGAATTACGATGATAAATGAAAAGATTTAACCGACTAAAACATAATATCTTTCTAAGAAGGCTTTTTAAAAAGAAATTTAAGAAGACACTAGATACGTATCTTCGATCGTGATGACGCGTTTGTTGGTCGTGAGTGAAGATTCACGTCATGAAATATGAATATAGGTCGAGTCACACAATAATCGATAAAAACGAAAGCAGTAAATTGTTGCTTTTTTCGTAGTAAATTGTCAAAAGATCAAAATTTTCATATATAAAAGAATATTCAAACAAAAAATTAAAAGCGTAATTTTTACAACTTTAAAATTTAAACATAAAATGCAGTGCGACAATGATAATTCGGTAGTTTGCACTGACAGTCAATCTAAATGGCAGATAATTTTATCCTCAAAAAATTGCACGATCAAAAAACATTTCGAAGGTTGGCAGGTAGACAGATGTTAACAGAGTTCTTTATAAATATATTCACTACAAATCTTTATGATTTATTTTACTATTATATTAGCAACGTCACTTCATAAAATTGTAGATATGTCCAAAAGACGTCAACGAGGATGAAAAAAATATGCAATTAATTTTAACGGTTCCAAATATGAAGATTAATTCACAATGTGCATCCGAGACAATAAAAACCGCGGATGCTGAGATTTGTTGCAATCGCGAGGATCTCAAAGAATTGTTAGGGACGGATAAAGAGAGCGATCGGGAAAACGGAAACATAATATTGACGGATTACTTGAAATTAATAACAAACGATGAAGCCAGAATAAATCTTTTACTGAAAATTTTAACGAAAGCCGTGGATGAGCATAAATGCTATGTGATTTGCGGCACGTTCCCGGTGCTAAGGAAACCATTGACGAATAGAGGCTGGATCGAGAAACGAGCCATTAGGAAAATGATATCAATACCTCCTAATGCGTACGAAGGTCATATTTTTTTACCTTAATTTGTCATCAATTATCAAAATTTGAAAGTCGATGTCTTCTTTTTCCAGATGGTTTACAGCAGATAGAAAAATTACTCCGAGTTCCTGCGGATTTTATATGGCATACGAATAAGAGACCTACTATAAGGACGGACAAGACTATTGTGAATAAATTTGCTGGTAGCTATTTTACATCCAAGGTAACGTAAAATATTACGATTCATAAATGTATATATGTCATGCATTGCAAAATATATATTTTTAAATAACAAAATGTTTTTAGGTTGACATGTGTAACAATTTGGAAAAAGCCTATTGGTTTTATGAAACCGGTGTATCTAATATACAATTTCCTCGATGCTACAATTTTTATCAAGTACGTAAATACTTGTAAAGTGAGTCAGGACAGGTGGTACAACCGGACAATTATTCTACAAGCAAAAATAAGTTGAAATGTAGAAAATGTTTCTATACGATGCGAATAAAAGTTTTATTCTGCATTTTTTACTTCTTGTATTACTTTTGCATATGGAATAACTTTCGGTTGTATCGTCCGGATATCCTGCAGACCCACTCTTTGTTATATGTATATGTAAATTACGACATTAAAATGTTAATATATACGTTACATTAGCTTATATTTATGAGTTGTTTGAACAGTCGGCGCAAATGGAGGAATTTATACAAGATTATTATATCACTGCATGTTTCGGGATTTTAAAATGGTTTACGTTACTCGCCAATTTGGTAGGACCGAAGAATACCTGGTCCCCGAATGGAACAATCCCTATAACTGTGATTTCGTTCGCCTTGGAACGCTGTGTAGAATATATAAGGTTGTAAGCAATATTACTGATATTGTATTATAAAAGTACTGGTGCAAAATATTTTTAGCATTCAAATACACGAGGACATAGACCGTACAGATCACGAATATACGCCTCTTTCTACCTGGGATCAATTTTTAGATTGGTATCATGATATAATATACAAGCGCATTGTATTGAAAGAAACCGACGAAGTTGACATAAATGTATGCAGAAATATTACAATGCGATTACCTTTTTTTAACGGCATTCTAAATTTATCCTAATGTACAACAATTTTAAAGGACAAATATGGTTAAAAAATTCTGGACATTACAGGAGCTTGTAGTATCTGTGAACGATATAGTAAAAGCAATGATAAAGTATCGACCGCAAAGTACGATCGATGGTATAAGAAATATATGGATTTTAAAACCGGGTGACGACAGTTTAGGACGCGGAATTGTTTTAAAAAGTTCTTTAGTTGATATCCTTGCCAAGGTAAATCAAGCAGCAAAAGAAAATATCGAGTATGTCGTGCAGAAATACATAGGCACGTATCATTTGCATTCAATGCGAAATATTTGTAGAATAAAGTTTCTGAGCGATATTATTCATCACATTTACAATTACAATTTGTAGAACGCCCACTGCTTGTTCATAAAACAAAAATAGACATCAGGCAATGGTTTCTAATAACGAGTACACAACCTCTTGTCGTATGGATATACAAGTACATTCAACATTTTTTTTCTTAATTTTATATTTGCATTGCAGAACTCTTAATAATTTAAATTATCAGGGATATTTTGATACGATTTGCCTCAAAAGATTTCACTCTCAATGATTTTCACGAGTCCATTCATCTGTGCAACACGACGGTACAGTTGAAGTATCGAAAGTTACGGAGATGCAATTCCGACTTACCTGAGCAACGTCACTGGAATCTTCAAGACTTCAAGGATTATCTTCAGTACTTTTTATGCTATCTCTTATAAAGATTTAAAAAGCTATTCAGTCAATCGACTAATTACTAATTTAGATCGCGCGGTCAAGAATTGGCTTGGGAAAAGATTATTAGGCCAGGAATAAAACAAAATCTAATAGGAGCACTTCTGGCGTCACAGGATAATATGATAAATCGTAAAAACAGCTTTCAATTGTATGGCGCTGATTTCGTAGTGGCCGATGATTTTTCGGTGTGGCTATTGGAAATAAATACAAACCCACGATTGCATCCGCCAAGCAGTGATGTTACCGCAAAACTCTATCCGGAAGTTATTGAAGACGCAATGAAAAGTACGCTGATTAAAATGAAAATATATTTACATATAAAGTTACATTATTATAAGTAGTATAATACGTTACAATATCTTTAGTAATCTTAGATCGGCGTAAAAACAAAAAAGCATATCAAGGAAAATTCGAATGTATCTACAAGCAACGTAATCCATTTTGCGGCGTCAATATTTTGGGACAAGGCGCGAGTCTCGGCATTCGCGGCAAGGGCTTATTTGTAACGCCGAAATTACCGACAACATAATACATAACCATATAAAGTTACATTGCCGAAATTCATTTGTTAAAAAGTCTATATTACAAAGAACTGTCTCAATTTCTATTATAATCCATTAAATATAACGCAAACAATTTCATATATTAGTATACAAATAAAATGTCATAAATTGCTATGTATCAGTGTAAAAAAGTTTTCTTTATTTTTTTATATTATGTTGCCTAGCGCAAGGTAAATGGAAGAATAATCGAAGGACAATGATTTATTAAAAACTTGTTTATGTTACAAATAACAATGCTATAAGTATACAATCCTGTATAGACAAAATGTTCTTCTTTTTCGGAACAATGCATACACATTATTACACAGTTAACGTAGATGGGGTTGTGTCACGTTTCACGTGCCCATTCATTACTCATGTACAAAATCACTCAGTTTTTTAAGTCATTATTATTATTTCATTTGATTTTGTATCGTAAACATGTCGTTCCATTTTGCCGTTTTGCAGAATAAATATATTCTGCGTCAGATCGAAATAATGTACATTATTTAGATAATATAATCTTAATATATAATTGTAAAATAGTTGTCTCCGATGTTTACAGTACTTTCAATAAAATCATTGTGAACATGTATTATCATGGAAGTTGTTGATAAAAAACAACTGTTTAAAGAAAGGAAATAATGTGAGCGTATCTTCCATAACAAATTCCGTTTGGCCAATTTAACTGTATAAACAATTAATTTACTATTATTGCAACATGATCTAATGTGATATATACTATTTATTTTACTGAAATGAAACTAATTTATATATAATATATATATATATATATAAAATAATAGATTATAGAACCTACGATGTACAAATAGCATATGTATAAATCATGGAACACATCTAAACAAGCTAGAATATGCTTATATCAGACGGAACGAATTAATTACACACAAAAGTATGTACTAAGTTGATCCATACTTCAAAAGCATTAATATGATCATTAGGATACTTTTGTACATTACGAACTTATATTCATTCATACTGATATTAGCATAATCTCATGTAACGTGAAATTCCATCTGTATCTGTGTTAAAATCTCACAAGATAAGAATTGATTATTTAATTTTGATATATTCTAGTACCATCAATTATAAATAAAATTCCATCTTGTTTGACTTCAACAAACTCTTTGAATACATTAGGGTGAGCTTCGTGTCTTATATTACAGCACTTATTTACGTATCTATATAAGTATACTTATATACCTACATAGATACAGTTTATAATAACTATTCTCGCGAATCAAGTACGAAAGCTAACAAGATTTAGTGTATATATCACATGTAAAACTGCATGAAACAATACAAATACTAAACTTACGTAACCGATTTTAATGTAAAAGATAACTTAGGCCTTGAATTATTTTTGCCTAAGATCCTCTTTTGCTCCTCCTTAACACGCTTCTCATGTTCCTTTCTCATTTTTTGTCTTTCTTCTTCCATTAACCGTTGTTCTTCAACCATGGCCAATCTTTCTTCAGCCTAACGTTATATATGCATTTATTGTATATTAATACTTCACACATACATCTCGTAAGTTATATTATTATTATATCGACAACTTACCAATTTCTTCTGAGCATCCTCTATCTTTCTGTTGTTCTCCTCCATAATCCTCTCTAGTTCCTCGCGCTTCTTCCGCTCTTCCTCCTACAATGACAACAAAATAGGTTTACACAAAGCAATGATATCGTTGATCACCATCTGTTGTTACATCGTTCGAAATCATAGTGCTGCTATGTCAACAGCCTAGTGTTACACATCCTAAGAACCTTTATGCAGGAAAGTTTGGGATATATAAAATTTAAGGTCGGAGTTCGAAAAAAGGATGGCTTATTACGAAAGATAATCATAGAGAGTGATAGAAGACGTGTGTCTAAACAATGTTCTTTTTTTTTGTGTCAAATGTATTCTTCTCTTAGAACCCAGTAAACAGTGTTTTTCTTAGACTGTCCAAAGGTAAATATAATAATTTAGGATGTTAATCGAATATGAGAAAAAATTAATCTTTTATAAGTTTATACAAATTAGTGTGCATGCAAGAATATACATGAAAAAAAAAAAAACAATTTTCCTTTTCATATAAACGTGATACCGTTCTGATAAGTGCATAATAAAAATTCAATGATAAGTATATATGTATGTGTAATATTATTTGTAATGTAATATTATAACAATAGGCGAGATTTCTAAATGAGGTCTGTATACAATAATTCAGAAACTAATATCCTACAGTACATTTATATGAATGGTTGTTGCCATCCGCCCGACCTGTCGATGGAAATTCGTTGTGTCCCATGGTAATAATGTTTAGCGAATCTATGGAATGAACCCTAGCATATGGCTTTCTCTGGTACAAAGTGTTGAAACAAAGAACGATGATAATAAGATCGGTATAAAATGAATTATGAATATATAAATTGGATAATACCTGAATGAAGCTCACGCCACCACGTAGGGGATGCCTTCTTCATCGAGAATCATTCAGCAGTGAGTAAAAAACCGGCATCTTCTGTTGGTAGTCAGTAAGGAAGGTGACCTATATATCGCTAGGTCGTGCTTTGTCGCTATGGGATTCTAATTCTGCCCCTTTAAAGTCTCTATTTTTCCCATTCGAATAAACTTTTTCCCAAACTTGTAGAGATTTACATATTCGGTGCAAACCCAATGTGCAAAGCGCAATGAGAGTATAATCTCTAATAAATTTGTAATCAGAATTGTTGCCAATCAACGAGCGAATTGACTTTTTAGAGATGAAAGTAAATAGTTGTGAATGAACACAAAAATGTGGCAGCAACTAAAATCTTAATCACGAAATAAACTAAAAAGAAATTTTGCGACGAATCTATTAGAGCTCTCTGATGTATAAATTATATAACACAATGATGTAATTCATTGTATTTTTAAGTAATAACTATTAAATAAAATTAAAAGTTAAACTTAAAAAGTGGAATAATATTGCAGAAATAAATTATTAGGCATTATATATTGCGTTAATATTGAATTCAAAAGACAATACTTTGATTCACAGAGAATATATTCAAAATATTTTTTTCGTAAGCAAGATATAACGGTGTAAGAATCATATAATCATAAAAATGATACTTTTACATTTCTGTATATCTATGTGTATACATCATAGTTCTAATTATATATATATATATAATTCAATCACGAAAGTCTAAATTTATAGCGGATTGTAAACTATTCTTATTTTTATAGTACTTGACATATATGTTTTATGCAACATCAATAAAGTAATATTATTACTACAATGATTTAACCGACTAATACTGCTCAGGAAAGAATATTACCTTCCTATAATTTCATACAAAAATACTTTATTTCATACTGAAGAAAAACTTCTCTTGTTCGATAAATTACAAAGTTTGGGATTGTTACTTTTTCAATAATATTTTCTCTTCTGCTCTATTAAAGACTGTATGATGTGATAATGTGGACAGTCACATACGCGAATATTTTTTTAAGCTAGTTCGAGTAAGTACATAAGAAGCCTGATATAGGTAGATTCACCAACATGCACAACAATTTTAGAAACTGAGTGAACACTGCCGATTCAAAGAAATTAGAGCAGTTTAAACACAACTTCTAGAATTGTTGACACGAACGTCAATTCAGATATTGTGTGATGAAAAAGGTAATGTTGTACAGAGATATATAAATATATATATATACACATGGTACAAACAATTTGATCATAAATAACCGATACATGCGCCTATGTAGCAGCATTTCTTTCATAATAACATAAAGTACAACTTCTCAACAACGCGACCTCAGTGGATGCTGAGAAGTTAAAGCAGTGTGGTTTCTTCGTTTAATTTCTTATGATACAATCGCAAACCACAATGCTTCTAGCCCAAACGCTGTGATCATAAATTAAAACTAATAGAGAGAGTTGATTGCACAAGTTTAATCGTACATTTTCCCATAGACAGTACAAGTTGCAAATCCTATAGTTTTAAGTCATTAAAATTTAATATGTAAAAGATTCACAAATTGCACTTGATTCGTCCTAACAATTATAATTAATGCTTTAATATTTCCTGAATATTTTCTTTATTTGTTACAGATTTGATAGAGTCTGTGTATTTAAACTTTAATACAGTTACTTCACGCGAAATTTATATTACAAATAATATTAGTTAAAAAATTAAGCCTTGCAAAAATACATTTCTATGTAGAATTCGATTTCAAAACAGTCGCTAAAATAATGCTAAAATTTATTTCCTGCTGATCATAACAGCGCTTGGGCTATCACTGACCAATATTTCTATGGATAGATCTTACCTCTCTTCGTTTCTCCTCCTCTCGTAGTTTCGCTTGTCTCCATTCCATTTCCTCCATCATTTGACGCTCCATAGCCCTTTTGGCTTCTTCCACTCGCCTTTGCACCTCTGCATCAATTTCTTCCTTACGTTTCTCAAGCTCCTCTTCTACCCTCTTTTGTACAAGCTCTTCTATACGTTTGGCTGCTTCTTCTTCCACCATTTTTTGTTCCACCTCGCGTTGACGTCTGCAGACAGATAATACAGTGATCTTTTTCCAGAACACTATTTCGAAATCATGTTCTTAAATAAAAGTAAAGTTAATAGCATGCTAAATCTTAATTAGACTTCAAAAAAAGTTGCAACTCTCATAATCGATTGATAATAATTTAAACAAACATTTTATTGAACATAATAACGATAAAAAAGACGTTATAAGATTTGGTATTTGCAAACGCGTCAAACATATTTTTTTTACAAAAATAATACAGTAAATTAATGAGCTTTAAATACATAAACCACCACCATGAAATAATTACACATTCTTACCCAACTGAGCTCGTAGTGAAGATTTTGTTCATTAATTCTTTCTTTTTCCTGATAACACAATTATAAAAAAAACAGCGTATAACAAAAATTTTAATTAAGCGAAATAAATATACATGTTCCACTTGATATACACAAGAGAAAGGAAAGTAATATAAAAAAAAGAAGAAAACATACTAATCTGTTAATTTTTTATTCTTTTCCAATTTTAATGTGAATTATCAAGAGGAACATTGTCGACATAATTCAACGAATATACCTTTGCCGCTCCATTTCCGCCAGCCTTTCCACCTCATCCATCTTTCGATCCCTGTCCCTATACGAACGTTTCTTGTGACTGACGATGTGCACATCATCTGATATATCCGTACCAGTGCTGGATGACGCGGAATGGGATCGTTTTCTGAACAAATGATCAAACAAGCAGTATTAATTGTTTATTAAATTGAATGTTGCCAAGAAGTGTATGCAAAAACAAGAATTCAATGCGGCGACAAGGTCTGATTTTTCATTTTCTGATTAACTTGTATGTATTTAATCTCATTTAACACTTAATGTTAATATAAAAATTATATTTTTCTAGCGATTAATCAATAAGCTGATGGTTTTGTAACTTTAAAATGACGCTTTTGTGCAAGAAATCGTGTCACGTAATGATCATTTCATCTTTGGATGCTTTCCAGCAAGAGATAACACAGTTTAATACAGTGAATCATTACGTCATCTGCCAATGATAAATAAACATAAAATGATTAAAGTATTGTACTTGTCTCTTTCTGCACCTTTGTTTAACATCAACAAACATCAAGGATATAATGATTCACTGTGATTGCTTTCTTTTTAGGAGACTAAATAAATTGGGTGTTTTCCAATAAAAAAAACAGTTAACACTGAATGCTTTCCTTTTAGAAGACGTCGACACAAACGCCATTCTATCCTTGCTGGCATTCAATAAATAACAAAGATAGACTGATACTTGTGTTTCCTAAAAGGAAAGCAGTCAATGTTGTTTGCCTTTTACTGAAAAACACCCAAAGTCAGTCAGTGTCATCTATTTTTTTTTTTTATTGGAAAGCGTCCAAATTTACAGTCATCAGTTTAGTTCCGTAGAACAATACAATCTTTCCATTATCATCAAGTCCAATCCTGACGAAAAGTTAAAATTTGGGGTGTAAGACCTAAGATACGGGGACAGTCGGCAGATTCGTATAATTATGTTTGTATTTATTTATTTTTCTTTCGCCGCGAACACGCTGTAAACGCACGGGGTGCGACAAGATGGCCGCACACGGCATGATCCGAGTTTCCGCGACGAGCGCGGATCGACGCGTCCCAGCGTGCCGTTACCGCTCGTCGCGAACCGCACATACCTGGACTTGGAGCTGCGCTCCTTCGGCTTGTCCGAGTACTTGTTGTTGGAGTGCTTCTCGCGCGACTTGGACCGCTTGCGCGAGTGCTTGCTCTTATGACGCCGTCTGCTCGGCGATTTCGATCGGGAGCGCGAACGGCCCATCTCTCCGACCTCGTCTTTCCTCTACCTGACGCAGTCGCGATTTCGGGAAGAGCCGATGACCGCCTTGGACACGAGCCGATGACGTGAACTCACTGTCGCGAGACGAGATGAGCGATATCCAAATTCCAAAGCAAACATCCAACACACCGTATCCACTACGCACTTCTCAACTGGCGGCCATCTTTAAATCACGAACTTGGACTTCAAAATCCGGAATGGCGCTACGTTACGTCCTACAGCGACCTCCAACAGCAACCGGCTGCAAGCTGTGCCCCCGCGAACACATCTGATAAGCTTTATATATGCTACGTGTCTGTGACACCAATGAAAGGTATTGTAGTTTCATATATATTTCTTGTTTAATGCGTACTTTGCGCTTTCATCGTGTATAACTTGTGAGAGCAACACGCAAACAAAAATGTTTTTTTAGGCTTCCACGGATATTTTCTATATACAAATTGCGTGTTTTCACGTGTTTTTTCCGTATTCAAATCTGTTATTCCCAGAATGCTAACGTTTCGTAAACACATTGCAGTTCACTTCCTAAACAACAAAAATTAAGTGTCCCAAATCGGCTCGTAAGACATTTTTTGCGTCTATTACAATTAATTTAATAGGATTTTTAACGTAAGTTATTGCCTCATTGCCCTCTTTCTCTATATTATTTGTTAAAACCATATCGAGTCTTATTAATACAATGTACATTTTAAATAGAAAATATTTATACAAAATTGAATTTTGAATATTATCGAGTTGGAACAAAAGTTTATAGCACTACTTCATTTGTATTGTGTCTACATTTAAAAAAATATTATATTTTTGAAAAATTTAGAAATTATATCATTTAATAGAGCACAATTTCAACTTTCAGCTAATAAAATGCTCCTTTATTTACTCTGCGAGAACTAATAAATAAGTATTACAAATATAAAAAAAAAACTATAAGAAAAATTAGCTTTCCATTTTGTCCAAACATAGTTTTCTATACATGTAAAGATAACCAGACTTACAAAAATTCAAAAGATATAGTCATTTTTCAAAAATACAGATTTTAAGCTTTAAAAATCTAACCCGTTTTTAAATTAAAATTCCCTTTAATTTTAACTAGAGATTCTATTTTATTATAAGAACTTTAAGGTCCTCCGCACAATGGAAGAAATACTTGTATTTCTTCCATTGTGCGGAGGACCTTAAATTCCTATCTAAGGATATAGGAATCAATATTAAGATTTCAAATTATCAAGAAATCGTGTATTCCAGTGAAACTATGATATCTGGATAGATAATAAAATCTTAACGTTTAGTCCTATTCCTAACATTTCCTCCATTATGATCGCAGAGCCTAATTTTTAATAAAGTTGCTTGAACTCTGAAGTTTGTAGCGTTGCGAACTTTCGTCTCAACATAACCCATACGATATGTTGAAATAAAAATTAGCTCCAATCTCTACAATAGCTGTAATAAAAGTTCTTAAAACTTCTGCTCCCACAGCTCTGAGTTACGATTTGAATATCCTTCACGCAGTTGGGATTTAATAGCATTAAACCGAAGCGGTCTGAAGGCATTAACGCGCCACTTTCAGCTGCTTTCAGGCCGCACTCGGAGAATCGCGCGCGCGCCGATTCGAACGCGCGTTCAGTCAGTTCGATTCCGGCGCGTTTCGCCGGTCTAATAACCGCGCGCGGCAGCACTAGCGGGCAGTTCCCGACGTTTCACGCTGCCAGCTGTGCCGCGTCCGGTCTGTTCTTTTCGTCCGTTCGTCCCGCGATCGCGCCATTCCGGTTCGTTCCGCTGGCGACTGGCAGAAAGCAAGATGGCGCCCGTCTGTTTGCGGATACCTCTGCCGTGGATATAAATACGCACGAGGAGGAAAAAGGGGAGGAAAGGATAAAAAGAGCAGTGCCGAGAAACGGTCGCGGACGATCGCGCGGTCGTTGCCGACGGTCGTCGTGATTGCGCGCTGATCTCGTCCGCGGTTGACGTTAACATCGCCCACGCGCCGCGGTAACGTCGCGTGAAACGCGTCGGTGTCTGCGTGTTCCCCGTGTCGTGCTCCGTCCTCGTCATCGTCGTCGCGATCCGCTGTCGCCATCCGCGTCGCGAAGCCGGCAACGAGACCATCCTGTGCTTATCCTAACCCTAACCGTCGCTGCTCCAGGAAGAGGCGCTCCCGCGTACGGTGCCCACCTGAGGAATGCCAGATCGGCCGCGATCCCCCCGGCAGGTCAGCGGATCGGCAACGCGGCGCGACGAGTGAGCGAAGAGAAGCCCGTCGAGAATCAGAAGAGAGGTAACGAGCGACGAGAGGGAAGGAAAAATAAATACTAAACGACCGGAGTGCGTGCTCTCGTGGGGATTCCCTCGCGAGAAGGTGATCGCGGTCGCTACTCTCCCGTGACGTATGTGTGTCGCGGAGGTCGTTTGTCAGACGGGTCGGTCGCCGCGAGTGTTTCCGTCGTTCCCGTCGCCGTTGTCGTCGTCGAGGTCGCGTCGCGAGGGCCATCGGCGACCTCGATGCGCTGTCGCCCTCCCCTGGAAGATCATCCCCTCTGGACGTCCGGTGGAATCAGCTGCTACTGCTTCTGCTGTTACCGCTGCTGGGACTACTAGCCCGGCAGCTCCCTGCGAGGATACTCTTCCGTTGGAGCGGTGGGGCAAGGAGGCGCCGGAAGCAGCCGCGAGTCCGGAAGCATAGCGAAGAAGATGGCCTTCAACGAGGTGAGTACCATCTTTGTCTGTGTTACGTTGCGTGCGTCACGCGTTCCACCGCGGATCGGGTCGTTCGATCCCGCGGGGTTGACCCCGCGACCCCCAAACGCCATTCCTAACCTAACCTCCCTTTCTGCGCACAGCTGGTACGCTATCAACTCCCCCTTCGCTCCTCCCGGCCCTCCCCCTCTCTCTCTCATTTGTTTATTACTTTCTCTATTAATTATTAGTTTATTTATATGTTGTACCTTCGTATTATTTTGCATTTTAATTATTGCACATCCTGCTATTAAACTGCACATTTGTCCAACATTGAAAGAATACCGTTCCCGAACGTTCAATAAATAACGATATGTATCGCTTTCGTACTCGATAGATTCGAAAGATACTTAGCATTCAACGAGAATTGGTTTTACGTGGGTGTAAAATTTGGTGCATTTTATTTTTGACACGTCGAAGTGTGGCCTCGAATGGATTCACAGAATGGAATATTTCAAGTCCTGTTCGCATCGTTATGGAAACGTATATGTCGAACTGGGAAGAATGAGATTGCTAATGTCTATTTGTGACAATAGTTCGTTAATTAAAAGTTCATACGCTAGTTCTAATTAGATTTGACATATGTGTTATTATTTGTAATTATACACCGCACTGATATATCTTTCGTAAACGTTTCGTACATGTAATTTCATATACGTAATCTCTCTAATTAGATATTGCAGTAACTATGTTAGTTACTTTGTGTAGATAAATTATTCTTCAAGAACGTTCGCTCTATCTATTTAGGATCTTATTTGACATTAATAATACATAATATGTTATGCAGCCGTCAGTGCGTTTCATTATACCTGTCTACTTTGAAAAAATTACTAAATTTTAAATTTTAATGAATACCTATTTGAATAGAATGCCTGAGTAAACTTTTACTGAATGTAAACATGCATTTATTTGATAGAATCATTACGTATGTTAACTATTATTTTTTATTAAGTAATTATTTATTTAATGCGAGTTAAAATGTTTGCTTAGTACTGTTTAAAGTTATTTATCATAAAAATCAACCATTTTTTTTCTTCAATGTAATTAACAGTGAAAATAATCTTTTTATAAAATATACGCGAAGCCCCGAAGCAAAATCAGCAAATTCTTTAGGTATTGCTTTTGTTGATAATGCACGTTTAATTGTCTCACGTTCTTGAGGAGTCGCGATAAATGCCATCGAAACACAACAAGGTTTTATCAGCTACAATAATTCTATCAGTTTGATGTAGCAGTCTCGCGATTGGTTTACCGTTATATCGCCTTACTATCGCAACATTGCGTAACTTGCGGAATTCGCGATCTGTTTTGGACCGCGCTGCATGCACCGGTTTCGCAAGCCACAACAATGACATTAATGAGCCTGTTCGTTGTAATCCCGTCAATTTTGATGAGAGAGCCTCGCATTCTCGTCTCTCGGCAGATGCTCGCTCGACCGTGCGACAGCGCGCTACACGTGTTTACATCTCTTCGCAATCGATTCAAAAAGGAGGATAGAGACGTTTGATTAATCGTGCCTCCCAGTTTTTCAATGTGTCAGCTTCATATCTCCATTCGATTTATTAACGTGATTGATCTGACGTCTTAATGTAATCTTACAATTAGTCGACGTTATTTTCTATTTCGAACACACCTGAGTTTCCGCACAATGGATGATAATATCAACCCTTTCGTGAGACTATGGGAAACTTCCCATCATTTCTTAGGATGTATGACGCTCGGTAGACTCGCATTTTATTATATCCAATGATGTCGTGGCCAACCAACTATTTTTAGTAGCGTCCAGCGACGACTATATTCTTGAATCTATGTTGCATATGAAAATTTGTAATATGTACACTGAGAAAAGTGGCTCGATTATACCAACAAGATGTATAGTTGAATACATTTTGAAACCTAGCAGAATATTTAGTTTTATCATGATAGGATTTGATATTTTTTTAACTAGAACATTTCAGACTCAAATATATTGATTTAGTTATTTCTCAGTTGGAATTCTAAAACTTCTAGTTATTCAATAATCGGAGATAACCAAATATTTCATTATGATATCTGGAATTCTGATTGATATGATCAGAATCTACTGATTCGTTTATCTTCAATCAGAATTTTTTTTCAATCAGTATAGTTTTTGAAATTCTATTTTTAATTTCTAGAACATGCGTGTGCCAAAATGTACAATCTGAAGTATTATCAGAAATATCAAAATTTGTGCACTTCTTAATGACAACGATTAGAATTCTATCACAAAAAATCAATAAATAAGAAATTCTATTTATTGAGTTTAATATCAGAAAAAAGAATTAATCATGCTTATCTGATAATTCCTATAAGAAATTTGACTTGTTCATTTTTGATTGAAAGTTATACTGATTGAATCAACTAATTTTTCAATTTTCACCAAATTTCCAATTAATACAAGATCTCACTTTTCCTCAGATTTTATACAAGTTCTGATGTTTCCGATAAAACCGCATGGAGTTAAATCCACATCCATATTTTTTTAGAGTACAATATTTTTGTATTCGTTATACGGTATATTTTTCGAAATTAAGGTCGCAGAGGATTTCACGCGATTGTGCCAAAACGAATTCACAATGGAGCCTGAATGAACGATAACTTGCCTCTCACCGTCTCTTCGCGAACGTTATCGTCGCGGTGACGCATGCACATTGCAATCGTACACTTGGAATCGGTTTTATCGCGACCGTTTCTTTTTCACTGAGTCGACTCGTATAAAAAAAGAGAGGAGAAATAAAACGCGCGCCGATGCGTAATTAATACACCGCGATCGCATTTCACCGATAGCCTGCTATAACGTTACGTACAGATTACGGTTCGAAAGCCGAGTGTGATAATCACATGGAACGTAACTTCTGTTCTCACGTTGCTCTTGATATTTTCAATGAAATTTGCACTCTACGACGGTTTTTCTTCATGAATGCACTATATCTTTACCAAAAGATCTCGTTCTTTTTGCGAGAAACGCAAAATTTTTTCATTTCAATCGCTCCTTTATGCTAAATAAATATCATTTTTATCAAGTATTCGATTCAGCTTGAAAATGTCTTCTGAGATTCCTTCTCGGATGCAAAGCGATGTTCATTTGTGATCGTCTCGTTCAATTCAACGTGCAATGAAAAAAAATCTTAATTTCAAAGAAATATTTCTTTAAAATTACGATATTTTTTTCTCAGTGTATGTGAACTCATTTCGAGTTTTTGATGGATGATCATGAGGTGATTTCTATCTCGGATTCATCAGCGTATTATTCAAGATGCTCGTCGTTATCTTATCTCCATAGTACTTTGTGAGAGAGAAGGGATAGTTGATTCATCCATCCGAGAATCTTCTTATTGTAAAAGGAAGAGCTACGAACAAAGTTACCTGTGACTCGTTGATATCGATCGAGATGTCATATACATTGTACATAGAGTGGTATTTTCCGCCCCTTCTCTTACGCGCAATTCTACGGCTTCGTTCTCGTAACGCCGATTTCTTCCCCCTCCCCTCCCTCCGTTCTCGTAACAGCTCGTGTCTGTCTCAAATGAACTCGTCGAGAATCCGGCCCTAGGCTCCCCTTCAAACTTTTCGGGTATCCTGCAGAAGAACTGACAGCTGTAGCACGTGTACTGTACGAGTACACATATGCGTACTTTGAATCGCAAAACTTGGAAGCGAATTAAGGGAAGTTTTCTCGCGAATTCCAAGCGGACTTGTTATTGACATTGTTGTCGAACACGGTTGTTGTTTTGAAACTACCCCGAAGTTTGCACATTCTGCGATATTTCAGTAAATGCAGTAGAACATTTCGTATACGTATTGCCGCGCGACGTTGCGGAAATCGTAAGCATCTTCATATATATGGTATTAAATTTTTATCACTTAGTTTCAGGAAAACATTTTTCGCGCTCTGATTGTGTTTTAAACGTTGGAACGGTTTTATTCTCGGTAGAGGTGCACGGAGAATCACTAATATCAATTCTGTTCTTATCAACTCACACTTAAAAATACTTTTGGTCGATACGCACACGCACACATACACGAGACCACTTCTTATCGCTGCGCATTGTTCTCCGTCCGATTTTATCGTATCGGTTGGTTAAAGGCGTGTATGCACGTAAAAGGTGCAGCTATATATATACCGTTATACGTGTGGGCCAACGAAGCTTCGGCAATGTCCTCGAGTTTCTTTTTCAGGCCACAGCGTGCATGAAATTCGTGAATGCATAAACAGGCTGCCTTGTGACGCTTTTCATTACGGCGACAACTTATTTCGCGGTTCGTTCAATTGCCTTAATTTTCTCTCTTTTATCGGATGCAATTAACGCTAATGAATGTAAAGCCTTAAACACAGTGAAAAGCACATGGTAATAGAAAAACCGGGAATAATAGATTTGTATTTCTTTATAGAAACTATTAAAAACCGTGCATTGTAGTATACATGCATAATTGGAAAATTTGTGAACGCATAAATGCAACGCATTTCACGTGTCCTCAACAAAACTCAAATTTTTGTGTTAATGTAACACAAGATGAATAAGATAGAAAATAGCATAAATACATATTATCTTAAAAATTAATATTTATAATGTTACATTAATTAATTTTAATAATTTATCTTAAAATTTACGTTTTAAAAAGTATTATTTTTGTATTATTTATTCATAAATTGTATTATTTTATCATTAAAAAATATTGAATATTACAATAATTTAACACAAATAATTCAAATAATTACGCATTATGTTAAATTAACACTCCTCGTATTAAATTATCCTCGTATTAAATTATCCTCGTATTAAAAATTCATAAAACATAAAATTTTAACAAGAAGCTTGAAAGGACTGTTTCTAACACAAATATACAATTTTTTACTGTAGCGGTTTTTCTGGTAGATAAAGATCTCTTATTCCCTGTTCCTATTACCTGTGTTTTTCATTATGTTTAAAATATAATATACTGAAACA